GGACTTGATACCTTAAGTCTTAATGGAAGGGGATTCCCCTTCTAAACATTAACAACTTCCACACTCAATAAAGGTAAGTGTCAGTTTGTGTGTATTAAAATTAATATTTCATGTGGTAAATTTTTTTTTTTCATACTTTGGGGTGTCTTGCACAGATTAATTTGATTTCCATTATTTCTTATGGGGAAAATTAATTCAGCTAACGATGAGCTTTCAGGAACGGATTAATATCGTTAGCTGAGGGTCCACTGTACGTTATATTAAAAGATATATTTTATGATTTTTTTCTATCTCCTTAATACTAAAATTGATCCACAAAACAGATTGAATTATATCATTATATATAATTTCTTATTACGATTTCCCATGTGTACATTACATACTGAAGATCCCCTAGACTCATGCCATAAGTACTTTAGAAATCCTATGGAACATCGTAATACTACACCAGACCCTCAGCCAAGCACCTCTGGGGTGGCCAGTGCAACTATGCAAGTGGAAATTATTATCTTCTTGCAATGATGATAGTGAAAGTGATTTAAGTGACAATGAAATTGATTTTATGCCCTTTGGGGATTCTTCGAGTGACAGTGATTTACATTATTCCCCAGTGAAATGTATTTTTAAGTGTCACTGCCTATGTTCAGGTAGTGTTCCATATGCAATCCCCAAGGGTCATGGGAGGTCACAATCGAAAACCCCAGCCACTGACAGTGATACCGATCATGAAAGAGAATGTGCGGGGGATTGAGGAGGAGGAGGAGGAGGAGGAGGAGGAGGAGGAGGAGGAGGAGGAGGAGGAGGAGGAGGAGGAGGAGGCGGAGGAGGAGGAGGCGGAGGAGGAGGAGGCGGAGGAGGAGGAGGCGGAGGAGGAGGAGGCGGAGGAGGAGGAGGCGGAGGAGGAGGAGGGAGGAGGAGGAGGCGGAGGAGGAGGAGGAGGAGGGGAGGAGGAGGAGGCGGAGGAGGCAGAGGAGGAGGAGGCGGAGGAGGAGGAGGCGGAGGAGGAGGAGGCGGAGGAGGCGGCGGAGGAGGAGCGGCGGAGGAGGGGCGGAGGAGGGAGGAGGTGGCAGGAGGCGGCAGAGGAGGCGGCGGAGGAGGTGGCGGAGGAGGTGGTGGAGGAGGTGGCGGAGGAGGAGGTGGAGGAGGAGGTGGAGGAGGAGGCGGAGGAGGAGGCGGAGGAGGAGGCGGAGGAGGAGGCGGAGGAGGAGGTGGAGGAGGAGGCGGAGGAGGAGGCAGAGGCGGAGGAGGGGAGGAGGAGGAGGAGGAGGTGGCAGAGGAGGAGGGAGGTGGCAGAGGAGGAGGAGGGGTGGCAGAGGAGGAGGGGGAGGAGGTGGCAGAGGAGGAGGGGGAGGAGGGTGGCAGAGGAGGAGGGGGAGGAGGTGGCAGAGGAGGAGGGGGAGGAGGTGGCAGAGGAGGAGGGGGAGGAGGTGGCAGAGGAGGAGGAGGTGGCAGAGGAGGAGGAGGTGGCGGTGGGTGGCATGGTGCCTGGGCCGCATGTAGTGGTGGGTGAGCAAAGGACACCCTGGCACCCCCTCAGCCATTTGCTGCCTCCACTCCTGTCCCTCCTCCTGCTCCCCTATGCTCCATGCCACAGGTCTACCCTGCACCATCAGACCGTGAATGAAACTGGGCACAAAGTACAACATTCATGCTACATCCTTTTGATTTTGATGCCAGTGGAATTGGCATCCTCCCAGAATGCCCCATCACGAATGAGTCTACAGAGTTAGACTATTTCCAGTTGTACTCTGACGAGCCGATAATGAGCTTGATTGTCACCCAGACAAACCATTATTACCGCTATATAATGGACAACACAGACGTTGCAGAATCATCATGGCTGCGCAGATGGAAAGATACGACTGTGGCCAAAATGTATTTAATCCTTGGCACTGTCATGCTTATGCCTCATATGTGTAGGCACAATATAGCACAGTACTGGTCCACAGACTACTTCCTCAGTACTCCTGTCTTCCGTGGCCTCCTTGCCAGCAGCAGATTCGCTCCAGGAAGTGTTTAAGTATATGAAGCAGAAATTCAGTGCCTACTTTTATCCCTTCAAGAACATTGTTGTTGACAAGTCCTTGATTCTGTTCAAGGGATGAATGTCATTCAAACAATATATACCAAGCAAATATAATAGCTTTGGTATAAAACGTTTTGTTATGTGACTGAGAGAGGCATAGCGTTTGATGTCACTGTCCACGCCAGGAGAAACACACTCAATGATGACGGGCGGATGCTGGGCATTTCCGGTGATGTTGTTCACAAGATGATAGGGCCATACATTGGCAAGGGTTATATACTGTACACAGATAACTAATATACAGGCTCTATGCTTGTTGATTTCCTCCATGTGAGGAAAAAATAGAAAACACATGACAAGGTTCACTGGAGGCAGTGCTGAAGGTGCAGTGTACGTATTTCATGCCAATGACATCATGGCACTGACATGGCATGATGAACAGGACATAATGTAGCTGTCAAACATCCACAGAAACGAGATGATACAAGGCAAACTGGGACACCAATGAATGTACTGTAAAGCAAGTTGCTGTCATTGACTATATAAACAGTATGCGGCTATTCAACAAGTGTGACATGATGATAGGGTTTGTTGACTGTGTGCGTAGGAGTCGCAAGTAGAACATGAAAGTGTTTTTCCACCTTGTAGACATTGCAATGCTCAATGCCTTCAATATGTATGAAATAAAGACTGGAAAATGACTTCATTATGCAGAATTCACCCTCAATGTCATAAAGTATAGATAATAAAAAAGTATAGTACCACACCTGTACCTGACCCACAACAGCGACCTGTCCCCCAACCACAACCAGTGGGGTAAGTGCCAGACCAAATCCTCGCTAAATGTCACTACCTGATACAAATACCTTCTACCCCAAAAAAGAAGTATTTTCAGAAAAAGTGTACTGTGTGTTGCTAACACCAAAAAACGACCGAAACAGCAGAAGGACACACGATTCATGTGTCAGCAATGTAGGGTGGCACTCTGCATGAATCCATGCTTCATGGAGTATTATACAATCCCGGAGTTCTAGAAACATAACTGGGACATGTAAATACCTTGTATATATTTGTAGACAATACAATGTGTTTCAGCCAGGTGTACAAAATCAACTATCAATGTGTACGTGTGTGTTTGTGAGCGTATGATTAATGATTCTGTACATAATATATGTGTCTAAACATCAACTGGTTATGAAATTAAAAGATCTACTACAAAACACAATTCTTCTTCTTCTTTCAACAAACTGGCCGTATCCCACCAAGGCAGGGTGGCCCAAAAAGAAAAACAAAAGTTTCTCTTTTTAAATTAGGTAATTTATACAGGAGAAGGGGTTACTAGCCCCTTGCTCCCGGCATTTTAGTCGCCTCTTACAACACGCATGGCTTACGGAGGAAGAATTCTGTTCCACTTCCCCATGGAGGACAAAACATAATTATCATACCATAAAAACTAAGAAAATAAAAAAAAAATGGAAAAACTATATACAGTGGACCCCCGCATAACGATGGCATCACATAGCGATTATTTCGCATACCGCTTACTTTAATTGCAAAAATTTTGCCTCACATACCGCTTAAAAACCCGCTTACCGATTTTCGTCCGAGACGCGTCCAATGTGCGGCCTGAGCCACGCTCACATGTTCCGCCGGTGGCATTGTTTACCAGCCAGCCTCCGCGGTAACATCCAAGCATACAATCGGAATATTTCGTATTATTACAGTGTTTTCGGTGCTTTTTCTGGAAAATAAGTGACCATGGGCCCCAAGAAAGCTTCTAGTGCCAACCCTACAGCAATAAGGGTGAGAATTACAATAGAGATGAAGAAAAAGATCATTGATAAGTATGAAAGTGGAGTGCATGTCTCCGAGCTGGCCAGGTTGTATAATAAACCCCAATCAACCATCGCTACTATTGGTGGTACAGCTGCTGCTGCTGCTGCTGCACTGTCAGCTGCTGCTGCTGCTGCTGCTGCACTGTCAGCTGCTGCTGCTGCTGTAGCACCGTTGTTGGTGTGGCTTATTGAGAATACCAAGAAACAATTAACCCCAGAGGATTTGCCCCCCAGGATAACCCAAAAAAGTCAGTGTCATCGAAGACTGTCTAAAATTATTTCCATTGGGGTCCTTAATCTTGTCTCCCAGGATGCAACCCACACAAGTCGACTAACACCCAGGTGAACAGGGAAAAATGCCTGGAACTAGTGCTCATATTGGTGAATTTAAAGCCAGCAAAGGTTGGTTTGAGAGATTTAAGAATCGTAGTGGCATACACAGTGTGATAAGGCCTGTTCTGGAAGAAAATGCCAAACAGGACCTACAGTACTCAGGAGGAAAAGGCACTCCCAGGACACAGTGTCTCATCAGTCATTGCTGCATCTTCAATAAAGGTAAGTGTCATTTATTCTTCATTTAGTAGACTAGTACATGCACAATATATACTGTGCATGTACTACTCTACTATTGTGCATGTATCCTTCTCTTTGTGTGTGGGAAAATGTATATTTCATGTGGTAAAATTTTTTTTTTCATACTTTTGGGTGTCTTGCACGGATTAATTTGATTTCCATTATTTCTTATGGGGAAAATTCATTCACATAGCGATTATTTCGCATAACAATTACCCCTCTTGCACGGATTAAAATCGTTAACCGGGGGTCCACTGTATTTGCAACATTTATGCAAGCAGCAGCGCTCCATGTTGCCGCCAGGTGAGCGTCAAGTGCCAACTTCACACCCTTTATTTTCCGGTATGGATGCCCCAAATTTTTTTTATCCTTGTGAAAATTGTCCTTTTAATTTTTTTTTTTTTTTTTTCAAAATTTTCGGAGAACTAGCAGTGAGAATGGAGATCTACCTTTGGACAGTTAACAGGTTAAAAATATTTTTCATTTTCAAATCTAAGCTATTTCTTAACTGATAAGCCAAAGCAATGATCTTTGGTGTATGGCCTTAATGTGATGTCACCTATCTGGTGTTTCAGCTCAGGGAGACCTTTGGTTGCCAGGTAAAACACACTCAACACAAGCTTAAATAAGTTTTTATAAAATTCACAGAATGGGAAGAGGCTCTGTTAAAGGATATCAACTAGTTTTAAAATCTGTAAATAACAAAAATAAATATTTAAGTTTCTTGCAAACACCACCTTAAGCTACTAAGTGTATGAGGATGAGAAATTTTAGATTAATGTAGCTAATTTTGAATAAAAAACACCTCATTTTTCGCAAAAATCAATTATTACCACACACCAAAAACATAAAAAACAGCACGGATGAGTATACGTAAACTTCTAATTAACAGACTAATAGGGGAAGGGTGTTTAGTATTGTCAACTGTCTGTAATTTCAATATCAAAAATTTATTTTCAAAATTATGACAAAGCAGACAAATTTGGAATCAGTGGATTTGGGGTCCATGATAGAGAAGACTTAACAGGACACAAATAAATATGTAACCTGTAAAACAGTGCAGTACTATACAGGAAATGTAAATAAAGTAATACAATGGCACTGTCATGTACAGTAGAGGACAGTATGTTATACTAATTTCAGTAACTTGATTCCCTTTGGGTGGTGAAAGATGAGCTAAAAGTCCCCAGTAAGTTAAATTAGTGAAACTGTAGATGGCTGAGAAGCAGCAGATGGCTAGCATATACAATCAACTTAAGAGCATAGTCTGCAAGTTTACTCTTCCTCACATACCCATGCCACTGAGACAACACCATGTTTCTCATATTCCTATAAAATGGAACAACCATCTTCTCATCCCACTGAGAAACCCATCTTTCTCATCCAACTGAGAAAAACACTGGATTCAATCTCTATTAGTTCAAGCTTTGCTTAACTAATAAGGAGAATTTAAAAAAAAAAATGTTTAAAAAAGAGAATCTTTCTCTGAAGGTAATAAAACAAAAAGTATAAAGTTTTATGGAAAATTGCCACAATTACACTATCGCAAATTCTGCTGTGTCAGCGATTTTTATGAATCGGCAATTTTGCCCACCCGAGTCCTATTTCAGGCCAATTACACTGTTCCATTTGACCAAATTCTTAGCTAATTTGCTACTATGCCTTCCACTTTATCGAATGAGCACAAGACACCACTCATTTACCTAATCCAAATACCCAATAAAGTGATCAGAAATTGGTAATTTGGCCAATGGCACACAAAATTCAAAAAGTGCCAATTTCAAAAGAGGGCCCAGAATAAACAATGCAGAAATTCCTGGCACTAAGCTATCATTCCTCATTTCATTAGTTACATCCCCATGCTTCTCCAATATTACACATGAATTCCATTTTGAATTTTTATTCACATTGAAAAACAGAAGATTAACTCCTATGCATTATTGTAATAATTGTATAAATAATGTCAGTGGATTCGTGAACACATATTAGACTGACCAGTTGAATGCGTATTGGACGAGTGACGTGATTTGTATACTCTGGAATGTTGGCAAAAATTGAATATTTCTGCTCAATTTCAAGCTACTTACTTCCAGTCCCGAATTAATCAAAATCACCTCTATTTTTGTAATATATTTTCACTACACCATCCGAAAATATGCCGCAAAGTCACCATTTTAAATCAAAAACCACACTCGCCACAGATCCATTTTCTTATATCTAAGCCAATATTTAACACTCATAGCTTATCTGAATGAGCTGAGCTCATGATGTAGAACTATGGCACCGACCCAGAGTTCAAAGCCATAGTACTATGGCACTGACCCTTAACCCTTTGACTGTCGCGACCCCAAATCCTGAAATGTCTCCTGGTATTGAGAAAAAAAAAAAATTCCTTATGAAATGATAGAGAATCTTTTTCTGTTGGTAATGACACCAAAAGCATAAAATTTGGTCAAAAACGTACGGAATTACGTTCCCGCGAAGTTAGCAATCTCGGCGATATATACACATTGGCGATTTTGCTGACTTTGAACCCTATTTTCAGCCAATTCCATTGTTCCAGTTGACCAAACTCATAGCTATTTCTTTAGAACTCCATTTTTTTATCAATTGAGCACAAGAAACTGCCCATTTACCAATTTCAACTACTCAATAAAGTGGTCAGAAATTGGCAATTTGGCCAATTTCCCGCAAATTAAAAAAGAGGCCAACTTCAAAATATTATTATTATTATTATTATCACACTGGCCGATTCCCACCAAGGCAGGGTGGCCCGAAAAAGAAAAACTTTCACCATCATTCACTCCATCACTGTCTTGCCAGAAGGGTGCTTTACACTACAGTTTTTAAACTGCAACATTTACACCCCTCCTTCAGAGTGCAGGCACTGTACTTCCCATCTCCAGGACTCAAGTCTGGCCTGCCGGTTTCCCTGAACCCCTTCATAAATGTTACTTTGCTCACACTCCAACAGCACGTCAAGTATTAAAAACCATTTTTCTCCCCTTCACTCCTATCAAACCGCTCACGCATGCCCGCTGGAAGTCCAAGCCCTCGCACACAAAACCTCCTTTTACCCCCTCCCTCCAAAACCCTTTTCCTAGGCCGACCCCTACCCTGCCTTCCTTCCACTACAGACTGATACACTCTTAAGTCATTCTTTCGCTCCATTCTCTCTAAAATGTCCCCAACCACCTCAAAAAACCCTTCCTCAGCCCTCTGGACAACAGTTTTGGTAACCCGCACCTCCTCCTAACTTCCAAATTACGAATTCTCTGCATTATATTCACACAACACATTGCCCTCAGACATGACATCTCCACTGCCTCCAGCCTTCTCCTCGCTGCAACATTCATCACCCATGCTTCACACCCATAAAGAGCGTTGGTAAAACTATTACTCTCATACATTTTCCCCCCTTTGCCCCCAGGAAAAAAGTTCTTTGTCTCCACAGACTCCTAAGTGCACCACTCACCCTTTTCCCCAAATCAATTCTATGATTCACTTCTTTTTTCATAGACCCATCCGCTGACACGTCAACTCCCAAATATCTGAATACATTTACCTCCTCCATACTCTCTCCCTCCAATTTGATATCCAATCTTTCATCACCTAATCTTTTTGTTATCCTCATAACCTTACTCTTTCCTGTATTCACCTTTAATTTTCTTCTTTTTCACACCCCACCAAATTTTATCCACCAATCTCTGCAACTCTCTTCAGAAACTCCCAAGAGCACAGTGTCATCAGCAAAGAGCAACTGTGACAACTCCCCCTTTGTGTGTGATTCTTTATCTTTTAACTCCACGCCTCTTGCCCAAAACCCTCGCATTCACTTCTCTTACAAAACCCCCTCTATTAATATATTAAACAACCACGGTGACATCACACATCCTTGTCTAAGGGCCCATTTTACTGGGAAATAATTTCCCTCTTTCCTACATACTCTAACTTGAAGCCTCACTATCCTCGTAAAAAACTCTTCACCTGCTTTCAGTAACCTACCTCCTACACCATTACACCTGCAACTCTGCCACATTTGCCCCCTACCCACCCTGTCAACGCCTTTTCCAAATCCTAAATGCCACAAAGACCTCTTTAGCCTTATTAAATACTGTTCACTTATATGTTTCACTGTAAACACCTGGTCCACACACCCCCTACCTTTCCTAAACCCTCCTTGTTCATCTGCTATCCTATTTTTCCTTTCTTACTCTTAATTCTTTCAATAATAACTCTACCATACACTTTACCAGGTATACTCAACAGATTTATCCCCCTATAATTTTTGCACTCTCTTTTATCCCCTTTGCCTTTATACAAAGGAACTATGCATGCTCTCTGCCAATCCCTAGGTACCTTACCCTCTTCCATACATTTATTAAATAATTCACCAACCATTTCCAAAACTATATCCCCACCTGCTTTTAACATTTCTATCTTTACCCATCAACCCCGGCTGCCTTACCCCCTTTCATTTTCCCTTTACGGGCCTCACGAACTTCCTCCACACTCAAAAACTGGTTCTTCCTCACTCCTGCAAGATGTTATTCCTCCTTGCCCTATAACGAAATCACAGCTTCCCCCATCTTCATCAACATTTAACAATTCCTCAAAATATTCCCTCCATCTTCCCAATACCTCTAACTCTCCATTTAATAACTCTCCCCTTCCTATTTTTAACTGACAAATCCTTTGTTCTCTAGGCTTCCTTAACTTATTTAAACTCACTCCAAAACTTTTTTTATTTTCAAAAAAATTTGTTGATACATCTCACCCACTCTCTCATTTGCTCTCTTTTTACATTGCTTCACCACTCTCTTAACCTCTCTCTTTTTCTCCCTATACTCTTCCCTCCTTGCATCACTTCTACTTTGTAAAAACTTCTCATATGCTAACTTTTCTCTCCTTACTATCTCTTTACTCATCATTCCACCAAATTTGCTCCTTTCCCTCCCGCACCCACTTTCCTGTAACCACAAACTTCTGCTGAACACTCTAACACTACATTTTTAAACCTACCCCATACCTCTTCGACCCCATTGCCTATGCTCTCATTTGCCCATCTATCCTCCAATAGCTGTTTATATCTTACCCTAACTGCCTCCTCTTTTAGTTTATAAACCTTCACCTCTCTCTTCCCTGATGCTTCTATTCTCCTTGTATCCCATCTACCTTTTACTCTCAGTGTAGCTACAACTAGAAAGTGATCTGATATATCTGTGGCCCCTCTATAAACATGTACATCCTGAAGTCTACTCAACAGTCTTTTATCTACCAATACATAATCCAACAAACTACTGTCATTTCGCCCTACATCATATCTTGTATACTTATTTATCCTCTTTTTCTTAAAATATGTATTACCTATAACTAAACCCCTTTCTATACAAAGTTCAATCAAAGGGCTTCCATTATCATTTACACCTGGCACCCCAAACTTACCTACCACACCCTCTCTAAAAGTTTCTCCTACATTAGCATTCAGGTCCCCTACCACAATTACTCTCTCACTTGGTTCAAAGGCTCCTATACATTCACTTAACATCTCCCAAAATCTCTCAAATAGGGTCCAGAATAAACAATGCAGACATTCATGGCACTAAATAAAATTTTCTCTGTTCATTAGTCACATCTCCAGGCCCCTCTTATATTACTCTTGCTTTCTATTTTGATTTTTTATTCACACAAAAAAATAGAAGATTTACTGTTATGCAGATTACTGTATTATTGTAAAAAGAGTATAAATAATATCACTGCACTAGTGAAACAATATTAGACTCCCCAGTTGATGTGTATTGGATGTGTGGTGAGATTTGCTTACTCTTGAACATTGGTAAAAATCGAACATTTCTGTTATTTTGAGCTCAACTTCAAGGTTGTTTTCGTGAAACTAATCAAAATCATCTTTATTTCTGTAATATGTTTTCCATTCTATCAAATGAGACCAAGAAAATGGGAATACAACCATAAATACTATAGGAAAATACACCTCAAATTCGGCGTTTTAATCCAAAAACACGGTCGGAGTTTTTTTTTCTCTCATTATGCGCTGCATGCTGCAGGATATTTTTTTATACAGTGCACAATAACCACACATACCCATTCTCTCACATGTGGGCCTACCAGCATTCTCCTGCTTGATTTGAAACCGCTAAAATTACTGAGTGTATATACAGTGGACCCTCGGCTAACGTCTTTAATCCTTTATCTGATTTAACCTTTAGCTGAATTGTCAACTGCCCTTTACTTAGTATGTTAATAAAGTCATACAAAACACTGTAAATCCAGGAAAAATTAGTGATTCAAATTTTTA